GTTTTTTTCATCCCTCAACTTCTGTCAGAAGCTCCCAGGGTTAGAGTCAAGTCGGGCCTGTTACTCTACAGCAGGAAAATTCAAAAATTGTGTGTATATATATATATACCAGAAAAAGTCTGGGGACGATGTTTTGACTATTGCTGGTGATTTGTTTGAGATATTATTGTTTTGCTATTCTTATTTGTCGCCCAAAATCCACTTGTAGGGGGACAGGCCCGACCTAAGGCTAGAGGTCTCGGCGATCAAGGTTCGGCGATACCAGGCATCTGGTGCCTCGAAAGCAGCAATAGGCGGCTGGTCCGTCGCCATCTTCGGCCTCCAGAGGGCAGCTTCGGGCCTCGGGGCCGTCAGGAACGGCTTGGGAGGAAGGGCCGGCTCTGGAGAAGCGGGGTCGAGAGGTCTGAGGCCGCATTGGAAGAGTCGAAGCGCCGGGACTCTCTGGGACTGAGGTTTCAAGGCTCTTCCGGGCCACACTGCACCTGCGGGAGGCTCTTGCGTGGCCATGGCTGGGTGCCCTTCGAGGCACTGGCCAGGGCGCACCCTGGAACAGGTCTCCAAAAGTCCCAACCACCTCCGATCGCGACCTTTCTCGCGACGAGAGGAGGAGGAGGAGGAGGAGGAGGAGGAGGAGGAGGAGGAGGCGGAGGAGGACCCCATCCTGAGCTCGACGTGGCCCTCACGTGCAGCGGCTGGGCTGCATCGGGGGGGCCGGCCGTCGGGGGAAGGGGCCGAGATCCCCGTGGGAGGGGGCCCAAGGCCACGAGCAGAGGGGCGCCGCCAGGGGGGGGCCCGAGTTCCTCGAGTTTCGGTGGCTCCCAAACGGGGTGGTGACCACACCGTCTAGTGAGTCGGTGGGGATTCGGGGTCACCGCACGGTTTTGGGACTCGGGTCGTTCTCCGAGGACGTCTCGGGCGACTGGCGCCTCCAGGGTCCCAAAGCCGTGTGGTGACGGACCGTGCGGTGAGGTCTTGGCGGATTTCGAGGTCACCGCCGGGTCTGTCACCACACGGTTTTGGGACACCCAGGAGTTGGTGGAAAGAGAGAGGCCAGCCGAAGGGCCCAGCCTTGTGCAGCTGCGAGCGGCGCAGCACATTGCCTCCTCTCGGCGGCGAGCGGAGGATGGGGGGGGGAAATGAGAAGGAGAGGGCCCTCTCGGAAGCCCTCGCGCCCTCAGGGAAGCCTTTTGCGCCCTGGGGGAAGGCTCAAAAAAACTTCTCGGGAGGCCATGGGGGCTTCCGAGCCTTCTGAGAAGGCCCGCCCCTTTCTCGCTTCCCCCCCGTGCCCGCCGCCGATGCTCCTCGTGCGCAGCGCACTGCGATCGGAGGAAGCCCGGTGCAAATCCCGGACGGTAGGCGACCAGCGGCGGTCCCACCCACGAATGGGTGAATTGAGCTCCGCACGGGTCACGACACGCAGGAGGGGTGCGGCGCGAGAGGCTCGGACTCGCCACGCGGGCCTGGCCGCGGGGGCCTCCGGTAGAGCTGCCCTGCGTGGCGTGCACGCCCTGCGAGAGGTGCCGCCGGGGCCGCAGGTGGAGCCTCCCTTTGGGGCCGGGAGGCGTGCGAGGGGTGTTCCAGAGCGGTGGAGCTCCCTTTGGGGCCACGAGGCGTGCCATGAGAATTTTGCCACTGGAGTCGCAAGTGGAGCACCCTGTGGGGCAACGAAGCGTGCCCGATATGGGGGCGGCGCTACCATACTGGCGCCCTCCCCAGGGCCGTAGGTGGATCCCCCTATGGGGCCCGGAAGCGTGTGAGGTGTGTGCTAAGAGTTGTGCCATACGGGCGCCCTCATTGGGGACGTAGGTGGAGCTCCACAGGGTGCCACGAAACGCGTGGGGACGTCATTCCTTCTTCAGCGTTGTTTCTTACGCTTGTATCGGCGTGTGCGTGCGCGTGCGCGCGTGCGTGTGCGTGGGCATGGGCGTGGGCGTGGGCGTCGGCGTCGGCGTCGGTGTGGAAGTGGGCGTGGGCGTGGGCGTGGGCGTGAGCGTGGGCGTGTGCGTGTGCGCGTGAGCGTGAGTGTGAGTGTGTGTGTGTTTGTGTTTGTGTTTGTGTTTTGTTTGTGTTTGTGTTTGTATATGTGGTTATGTTTGTGGTTGAGGTTGTGACTGTGGTTGCAGTTGCGCTTGCGCTTGCGGTTGTGGTTGTGTTTGTGTTAGTGTTTGGGTTAGTGTTTGTGTTAGTGTTTGTGTTTGCGTTTGTGTTTGTGTGTGCTTGTGGTTATGTTTGAGTGTGTTTGTGGTTGTGTTTGTGGTTGTGGTTGTGGTTGCGGTTGTTTTGGGTTTGTGTGTGTTTGTTTGTTGGTTGTGGTTGCGGTTGCGGTTGTGGTTGTGGGTATGGTTGCGGTTGCGGTTGCGGTTGCAGTTGCGGTCGTTGTTGCGGTTGTGGTTGTGGCTGTGGTTGCGGTTGCGGTTGCGGTTGTGGTTGCGGTTGCGGTTGCGGTTGCGGTTGCGGTTGTGGTTGTGGATGTGTTTGTGGTTGTGTTTGTGTTTGTGTTTGTGTTTTTGTTTGTGTGGTTGTGTGTGTTTGTGTAGGTGTTTGATGTTGTGCTTGTGTTTGTGTTTGTGTTTGTGTGTGTGTCTGTGTTTGTGTTTATGCTTGTGTTTGTGTTTCTGCTTGTGGTCGTGGGGTGTGTGTGTGTGTCTGTGTGTGTGTCTGTGTGTCTGCGTGTCTGTGTGTGTCTGTGTGTGTCTGTGTCTGAGTGTGCGTGTCTGTGTGTGGTCTGTTTGTGGTGTGTGAATAGATGGTCTGTGTGTGTGTGTGGGGTGTGAGTGGGGTGTGTGTGTGTGCGGGATGTGGGTGGGGTGTGTGTGTGTGCGCGTGTGTGCGTGTGTGTGTTGTGTTGTGTGTGTGTTGTGTTGTGTGTTGTGTGTATTGTGTGTGTGTTGTGTTGTGTGTTGTGTTGTGTGTTGTGTTTTGTGTGCTGTGTGTGTTATGTGTGTGGCTGTGTGTGTGTGGCTGTGGGTCTGTGTGTCTGTGTGTCTGTTTGTCTGTGTGTCTGTGTGCCTGTGTGTCTGTGTGTCTGCGTGTCTGTGTGTCTGTGTGTCTATGTGTTTGTGCGTCTGTGTGTGTGGTGTGTGCGTGTCTGCGTGTGTGTGTGTGTGCGTGTCCGTGTGTCTGTGTGTCTGTGTGTCCGTGTGTCTCCGTGTCTGTGTGTCTGTGTATTTGTGTGTTTGTGTCTGTGTGTGTGTCTGTGTGTCTGTATGGTCAGTGTGTGAGTGTGCGTGTGCGTGTGTATATGTATGTCCGTGTGTCTGTGTGTCTGTATGGTCTGTGTGTATGGTGTGTGTGGTGTGTATGGTGAGTGTGGTGTGTGTGGTGTGTGTGTGGTGTGTGTGGTGTGGTGTGTGGCATGTGTGTGCATGTGTGTGTGTGTCTGTGTCTTTGTCTGCGTCTGTGCCTGTGCCTGTGCCTGTGTCTGTATCTGTGTCTGTGTCTGTGTCTGTGTCAGTGTCTGTGTTTGTGGTGTGTGGTTGTGGTTATGGTTGTGTGAGTGTGTGTGTGTGTGCGTGTGCGTGTGCGTACGCGTGTGCGCGTGCGTGTGTGTGCGTGTGCGTGTGCGTGTGCGTGTGCGTGTAGTGTGTGTGTGTGTGTGTGCATGTGCGTGTACGTGTGCGTTTGCGTGTGTCTGTGTGTTTGTGTGTTCGCGTGTTTGAGTGTGTCGGATGTGCGTGAAGTGAGCGTGTTTGATGTGTGCGTGTCATGTATAGTGTGTACGCGTGCGGCTGTGCCTTCTGTGTGTGCGTGTGTATGGTGTGTGCGGGTGAGAAGTAGAGTTGGGAAGTTGGAGGCGAGTGAAACGCGGGTGCGACACAGGTGAGAAGAAAACCAGAGCCCCACTTACAGTGGAGGCCCATGCCAAGAAACACCTGCTTGCCTCCAGGGTGCCCTGGGTGTCTTGGGTTTCGATGGTTTCACTGTGGAAGGCGCAACGCTCCCACACCAGAAATCAATGGACGTCCTGGGGTCGCAGGGTTGGGTTTCTTCTGGAAGGTTTCTTGTGGTCGGGCCTCCACTGCAACGGGTGGAGAAAAAGCAAAGCCTCGCCGTGTTTCACGACGCAAGGAGGTCTGGCCTTCGGGTCCGCACTTGGGCCTCTGGCGGCCGATATCTGGACGATCGGAGCACCCCCAAGAGCACTCCCGGCGCGACTTGGCTTGTTCCGATCGATCCGCTTCCATGCCGCTTTCGCCCAGCCGGATCCGACTCGATCTCGCTAGCCTCGGGCGATCCCGTGCTGCCCGGCGTCCGCGCGGCGCTGCTGTGCATCCTGGCACGGCCGAGCCGCTTCGACCCCGGCCCCCGTGCCAGCGCGGCACGACCCGGTGCACGGCCCGCCCCGATGCGACCTCGCGAGCCGTTGCGGGCAGCTCGAGCTCATCGCGTCTCGGGCGTTGCGTAATGCGGGGGCCTCCTCCTCCTCCTCCTCCTCCTCCTCCTCCTCCTCCTCCTCCTCCTCCTCCTCCTCCTCCTCTCCTCCTCCTCCTCCTCCTCCTCCTCCTCCTCCCCCTCCATATATAGGGGGGGGGGGGGGGCCACGAGAGGCGCACCTCCTGGGCCTCCAAGGGCCCCCCATGAGGCCCCGCCGGGGCACGCAAGGAGTGCACACCTCTCCCCCCCTCGAGTCCGTCGCCCCCCCGCGCGAACGGCGCCCGCGCTGCGAGGCGCCCAGGAGCGGCCGACAACGGCTCGCGAGGTCGGCTCGGGGCGGGCCGTGCATGTCGGGTCGCGCCGCATCGGCACGCGGCCGGCCGTCCCCGAGCTCTCCTCGCATCCTCCTCCTCCTCCTCCTCCTCCTCCTCCTCCTCCTCCTCCTCCTACTCCTCCTCCTCCTCCTCCCCTCTGCCTCCTCCTCCTCCTCCTCCTCCTCCTCCTCCTCCTCCTCCTCCTCCTCCTCTCTTCCTCCTCTCCTCCTCCTTCTCCTCCTCCCCTCCTCCTCCTCCCCCTCCTCCTCTGCCTCCTCCTCCTCCTCCTCCCTCCTCCTCCTCCTCCGCCTC